TTTCCAACCGGACTTCCTGGTCAAAAACCAGGCACCTGGCAACCTTTGGCCGGGGGGTTGCAGCAGGGAGCTGTGGCTGGGAGAAGAGCCATGGCTGGAGCAGAACAGGGGGCACAGTGGGGCTGAGTGGCATTCCCTCCCTGCCCCTAGGGGGCTGACCCAGGCTCACTGTGCCCCCTGTTCTTCTATGACCCTGGGGGGGGGGTGCCTCACAGTTTGGGGACAACTGCCCTAGAGGCAAACATGACAAAGTCCCTCCTTAGTGCTCCAAAGAGATTGTAACAAGTTGTGGTGCATGCAGTGCTACCAGATGGAGATCAGACATTGTTCAGGGCCATTACTGGTGTTAGAATCCAGGCTAGATATATCTAGCATCAGCGAGTTGTGGGAAGGAGATCAGGGCACTGACTCCGTTAACATGCTGCTCTCGCTCAGGTTCAACAGTGAAGCTGATAGAAATCAAAGAGGTTACAGAAAGGACATCCAACTACAGGCAGTCAAGAGAACAATACTAGGAGAGTGGCCAGAAGATAAAAGCCAACTACCAGTAGGAGCAGAACCACATTTTCAAATTAAAGATGAGTTGTGTGTGCAGGATAGAATCATATTTTCATGACAGGGAGCTGTCTTGCCTCGTTATGAAAAAATACATGCTTCACACATTGACAACTGTGTTTACTACCTGGGAATAAATACACAACTCCACTCCTTGATAGAAGGGTCTGAAACCTGCCAGTTGTATGATTATTACCACATGACCTGCTCACCTGACCTATGTACCTATGAAAAGGACTTACTTAAAAGGAAATGCAGTATTGTATTACAGTGGAATTCAAAATTGGGAGGCCAATATCCTGCCTGATATAAGAAGCAAGTCAGTGTTTGTCAAACTGATGATATCTTTGCAAGATATGGCATTCCAGACACTGTAATCAGTAACAGCCCTAGTTTGTCTTGAAAGAATTTAAGGAATATGCACACAAATGGGAGTTTGATCACCACAATATCTCCTCCACAGAATACCCACAGAGTTAATGGTAATGTGCACTCAGTTGTGAAAACAGCATTACACAAGGCTGTTTCACAAGGTTGGTTGTTCTGGTTCAGACCCCTTGCTAGCATTTTTGGCACACAGGAGTACCCTATGTCAGGGGGTGCCAAAACAGTCCCACACAGGCACTGATAGCAGGAAGGACCAAACCCATGTTATCAATAAGGGGAGATCTGCTGCAGCCAGAAGGATGGGGACACTACTAAAAGGAGATGACCAGCAGTTAGAAAAAGCACACACTAGGGTACGACAGGTCAGCCAAGAACCTACCAGCCTTGGAGACAGGCACTCTTGTGTGGATCCAGCGTTTAGAGAGACACCGGATGGAGTGAACCGAAGGAATCGTGAGGGGTTCAGTGGCATCCAGGTCATATGAGGTGACTACACAAGAGAAACAAGGGATCTGAAGAAACAGGAAGCACTTATGAGCCAGGAGATACAATACCCAGAACAGAGAAACAAAGCCATCTTGAGGCGAAGCCCACAGGGAAGGAAGAGACTCCACAGAGAAATAGTTGCTAGACTTTGAGGTGCCAGCCATGGATTTTTAATTGCAGTCTGTCACCTGTCTCAGAGTATGTCTAGTGAGACAGAGATAGGACGCTCCTGGTGTGGTCACCTGTTGAGGACACCAAACTATCTTAAGATCTCTGTTATGTGCTAGCAACCTCTTGCCAAAGGATAGGGATCTGGGCATCAATTACTTGTTTTTAATGTTTGTTTGTAAAATAGGGAAGATGTATTACGATCAGTGGCACTGGAGTTAGAGGGCCCTGGGGCGGGGGCTATTAGTGATGGGACACCAGAGAAACAGGGAAGTCCAGAAAGTTAAGCTGGAAGCAACTTTGCTACATTGACAGAACAGGCCGAAGTGATTAATAAAGTTCCACTTTCTCAACTTAACCTGCTTTAGCATCGCTCTTTGCACAGGAAACAACCTGCATCTGCTGCCGGTGCATGGGAAGGAGACTCACTACTACTGAGATGCTACTTTCTTTCCTGTACAGGTACATGGGCAGGAGTGAGGGAAAGAAAAAAATCTTTGCTCCACCCTCTCCTGCACTGACACAGCACAGCTAACCTCACTGAGTGGAAGTAAACTGCAGCTGGAAAAGGGCTAGAGCAGCTTACTTCCCTCCTTCAAGCATGGTGCTCCACAACTATACGTTGCCCCTTACTCAAATTGGATTGCAAGGTGCCAGTCCAGCCCTAAGGGAGTGTCCATCCACGGGACTGTTCTGACCCCATTAGCTGGACAAATAGTACAGATCCCAGAGAATAAGGGCACAATTGTCTCTTCTAAAATAAGTGAGCGAGATTTACCACCGGTGCAACTTTCAATGTCCTTGAGTTTAAGCCTGCATTATATGAGTGAGTATTGAATCATGGTATCATAGTATGGTACATAGGAGAGGAGTCTTTTACAGTCAATGAGGAACACGTGTGAAGCAGTTTTGAATTTTTTCCCCAATACCTAGTCTGTTTTTATTTCTCTTGAAAAGATACATTATGTACCAAAGCCCTATAAAAGTTGCAAAATCATTACAACCACAATTTTTCAAGCTTATGTAATTCATAAGAATTAACTGCCAATAGAATTGCTGTGTATTTCCTATTTTCTTACCAAAAAGTTCTACCCTTTTCCCAGATTTGTTCTAACCTTTGTTTGGCATGCAGCAAAAGAATCTGAGCTAGCCAACTCTGATTCCCTCTCTAGAAGAAAGAACAAGTTTGCTGGAAGAAACTGTTTACGCAAACCTTTGGCCATCTTCAGTATTGCCAGTGGCCACCCCCACAAATCTCTAAATATACACAGGAAGACAAAATGTGAGATGGTACTGCTGTCCAGCAATTTTGTTACAAAATGCTGGCTTTTGTGATTTTTTTTTTAAATACATTAAATATTTTTAATATGCATAGTGTTGAAATATTTGCGGTTCTCTTGGAAATTGCTGGATTGTCGTTCCTGGAGATTGCAGTCTCTTGTTTATGCACACATTTGTACTGAAAGGCTGTGACCCTTAGTTTATCTCAACCCTGAACAAGGGAGGAATTGGCAATGTACATTCAATCCATGGCCTCTTGGAATGTTTGGGCACTACAGCGCTGTAAGCTAGTGCTACATACAAGGGTAGTGGTCTAGGTGATATGGATACTTATCTATTAGGGACCAGGCTTTGGCCTCAAAATTCACCTTACGCAGCTAGTACTAACTTTTTGTCACTGCTCCTTTTGATTGGATTAGTATTCCATTTAATAAGAAAAATGTCTGACTAGGGTGTAGAGGGCCACTGAAATTTCCCACTGCATTCAAAACATCCCTTTATTCACACATGTACAAGTTTGAGTTCTACCCTGTATGATCTGAAGTGGGTGGTGGTTCTTCCAGGGTGTGATTTTTCTCTTTCAGATTTAGTCCCTAATTCTGCACTTATACAAACCCTTAACTTTATGGACAGCAGTAGTGAATTCAAAGAGGGTGCAGGCCTGATGAGAGTACTCCTGCATAAGCAGGGTCAAGGTCTTGGTTTGCAATCCCTTATGTTTCAGGTTGAAATGAGTTTTCCAGCACACCATTGTGTAGACAAAACTCAGAAACCTTCTGAAAGGTGAGCTGGATGCTAACTGAGGCCCTTATTCCTGTCTAGACCTAGGGCAGGCCTAAGCTTAAATGCTGTAGCTTTATGGGTGCTGCGGTAGCACTTCACTGGAGAGGCTATTCCACCAGTGGCGGAGCTGCTGTGGTTGGTGTAGCTAGTCCCTTTCTGCAAGAGGCTGTAGCTACGCTGACCGGAGAAGCCCGACTGTTGATAGTGCGCTGTCCACACCAGGCCAGCGTCGCTCCGAGGGGTGGATTTTTCACACCACGGAGCAATGCAGTTATACTCGTGTAAACTATTAAAGAGGGTCGTGCAGACGTGGCCTGCTGCACCTGTGCCATGTATGCACTTGAGTACTCCCACAGTCTCGGGGCCTAATGTCTTCTGGGGCTGCTGCCCTATGAAACAACTGGGCCATACTGTGTTAAGGGCAGCCCTAGCGCTCCACCCCTGCAGTTTCCATGGTGCTTGTGTGTTGGACCACGCTATGTCCAAGCGCTGCCCTGCTCCCAGCTCAAAGTTACAACTGCCAGCAGCGCTGGCTTGAGACAAAGACCGTCTGGCTCCAGACTTCCCCACCAGGCCCGGGGCTGGGCGACTCGCACAGCTCGGGGCCAGTCCGGGAGTCCTGAACCGCCCCACGACCTCCGGGGGCCTGGGCTTCGCAGCCACCCGAAACAGCGGGGCCGGGGACTCGCCGCCCCGAGGGGAGGGGGGTGGCGCTGGAGCCGTGACTCTCGGTGCGGGTGCGGGCGCGGCCGGCCGCGGGGCTTCGCCGGGCGCCCGCAGGGCGGCGGTGTCTCTCCTCCCTGCTCCGCGGGGCCGCGGGGGCGGCGCTTAGCTCCCGGCGGGCGGGGCGCGGACGGCTCAGGTTGAAGGCTGCGTGGGTGGGTGGGGAATCCCGCTGAAGCAGAGCGCGGTGGGGGCTGGCCCGTGCACCGCAGTCCGTGGCAGAGGCGGGCAGCGAGCGGCAGGTGGGGACGGGAGCGTCCACCCCCTGCCTTCCGGGCGAGAGGGGCTTTCCCTCCTGCGGCTGCTCGCGGCCATGCGGTGAGTCCCTAGCAGCAGCCGCTCCGCGGGGAATCGTTGCGCTTGGGTCCGGGCTCGGCGGGGGCAGCTGTGGGACAGGCGCAGGGGGCCGCGCGGCTGTGTGCAAAGTTCTCTCGCCGCGGGGCTCGCAGGCATGGGGGGGGCTCCTTCGGTGCTGGTCCCCCTCCGGCCGTGGGGCGCCCAGCAGGTGGGCTGCGGGTCTGGGTTTGCACCCGCCAAGCTCGGCTGTAAAGTTCGGCTGCCTGGCCGGGGGGAGCCCCTGTAGCTCTAGCGGCTGCTGGGGGCGGGGGGAACGACTCTCTGAAAACTCTCTCCAACTTCTAATGCCGTGCGGTCACCGCAGCGGGGGCGGGGGTGTAAGTGGCATTACAAGAAAACTCCTTCTGTAAGTCCTGTTGGGGCTGGGTGTGGAATGACAAAGTTATGCTTACTACTATTTCCTCGTAGTAAAAGGAGAGCGTGCGAGGACTGAGCCTTTGCAGGATTTGTTGCTTCCTTCTTGCACTAGTGGTGACCCTAAGGAATTTGCTATGGATGGGGAAAGTGAAGTGGATTTTTCTGGTAACAACGTAACGCCATGGTGGAGGAGGAGATCGACCCCGCAGCAACGCGCCAAGAGCAAACCTAGACCCCAGTCTTACCAGAGCCCCAACGGGGTCCTCTTCACAGATTTCCCTGTGGAAGACAGGGGTACATTCACTGTGACTCAGCCCGCTGAAACAATAGTTACTTCTCCAGACAACAGATTAGTCCAAAGGAGCCCCTCCTCTTTTAAGTCCAAGATGGGATCTGTGCCAAATGGAAAAATAGGATCTCCAGAGTATAAAGCTGTTTCCCCCCAACTTTCTTCTGACCAGGCATCTCCAGTTCTGAAACTGGTTTCAGATAACTTGATAAGTTTTACAGTAACCTCGCCAGATGACACATTGCTTCGTCCAGTGATGATTTCCAGTCAATCAGCACTTATCCCAGAAGATGAACAGACTGCTTTTATGTCAACTCCTGGGTCCTTACCTGGAAATATGCCTTCACTGAGTAATAACACAATGGCTGTTTTGCAGTTACAATCCTACCAGCTTTTTAAAAACCCAGAAAAGGCACTTGTGGGACCCTCATTGGTTTCCCAGACAGCTCCCTCACAGCAAAACTTAACTCTCCACAGACTGACATCTAATCAGAACCAACTCCCAGAAAAACAGTCAATAGTTCTGAGTACAAATAGTCCTGCTGCGCTCAAAGTGGGGAAACAACAGATCATTCCTAGGAGTTTAGCTTCTGAGATAAAAGTGACAAACAAAACCAGCAACCAGAATGTGGAGCCGAACAAAAGGGTCCTCAAGGTCCGTAGCATGTTGGAGGTGCTTAATATGCCTTTGGTAGCTGATGGTGATGGAGAGACCGAAGGTAACCTGAATAGCCCAGGGGCATTGAGAAGAGGATTGAGGTCTACTTCCTATCGAAGAGCAGTAGTGAGTGGCATTGACTTTGACAGTTCTACAAATTTTAAGAAAAAAAATAGAATGTCCCAGCCAGTACTCAAAGCTGTTGTGGAGGACAAGGAGAAATTTTCTAGTTTAGGAAGAATAAAGGTGAGTAAACTGGTAGATGAAACTTATGGTGTTTGTTTGTTTGTTTTTTTTTTTGGAATGGTACTGGCCACTTTAAAGGTAGTGATTAGCAGTCTAAGTATTTTTTTTAATGCATTTGTTTTTGAGTTCATTGTTTACTATTAGAAGCTTCTCTGTGACATTTGACAGGTATAAATGGTCACTTAACATTTCCTCCATTTTACTGTAATGAAAACAGTACTTTTAAGGATACCATTAATTTGAAACCTAGCCAGTTTAAAATATGAGTTAAAGGTAATTTCATATTTTACGTTTCAGAGTAACAGCCGTGTTAGTCTGTATTCACAAAAAGAAAATGAGTACTTGTGGCACCTTAGAGACTAACCAATTTATTTGAGCATAAGCTTTCGTGAGCTACAGCTCATTCATCGGATGCTCAAATAAATTGGTTAGTCTCTAAGGTGCCACAAGTACTCCTTATATTTTACATTTGTCACTGAATCCCCCTGTCAATTTAGGTTTTGTTTTGCATTCATATTTGCTTAGATTTAAAAATGTTTATCCCACCCCTATATACATTTGAATAGGGGAGACAATTAAACTGACTTCACAAAGTGCTGCCTAATGTAAAAAGTAAATACAGTGGCAAAAAAATAGTCCAACTACTCCCCCCCATCTCTTTCAGTTATCATAACCTTGCCTGTTACTTGTAACAGTATGTTTTTAAAAAATTCAGGTAGAAGTGAACTTTTTAAATTGACAGAGTCCTTTTAAAGTATCTTGAAACAGCCTCAGGTGTATCCTAAAAGTAGAATGTCTTATTTCAGTCCTCAGATTTAATCCTTTTTGAATAATAGTTTTATTACATTTTCTCTTGCTAAATTAATTATATTATAATTATGCCACAAAACCTTGCTTAAAAAAAACTGTAAAACCTTTTTCTGTCTTGAAAAAATGTTAATCTTTGTCTTTTTGTTGTGTTTCATTTGCATTCTACCCTTCAAGCATCGAATGCTTTTAATAAATTGGTAGATTAAAAAGCTCTGCAGGGTGACTTGGAATTGTGCAGTAAAGCACTCCAGGCAAGGCATAATAGCTGTAACTAGTAGAATAATTATCAAGTGTATGACAGTTCTCAGGCAAACAAAAAATTTAGGGGGTGGGGGTTGGGAGCTTTCACAGAAATTACACAAACAAGCAGTTTCAGTAGGTCAGATTGTAGGCTGTATCATTCCATTAGTTTTTTTTCCTACAGACCTCCCCCAATGAAAGCACTGAGGAGTTCTGCTTAAAATAAGAAGACATTATATTGCCCTGTCTTTATACAGAGATGACTTTTTGTTGTTGTTGTTAATGTGGTTTTTGTTGTTGTTGTTTTGCCAGTTGAACTAATAGTATTGAAGCACATAAAGGTCTAAAATGTAGTTCACCAATAAGTTTGTTTTATTTCAGAGGGCTTGTTATGGTCTCAGAAAATAGCTTACATGGTGCCTTATGTGAATTTTTTGTAGCATGAGAAGGAAAGCTAGTCCCTCTAACAAGAACAATGTATACTTGATAGGATAGCTCAGAGCCAATGAAATGCGAGTTTATTGAACTCTTGTAATGCTATAGTATGAAATAATTTTGAATGGCTTTTTATTCAGTTTGTAGGAAAAATGCAAAGTGATGAATGACTAAGCAATTAGAAGAAAGTCCATAGCAACTTTAATGTCACATCTGTAGTGAAACAATGGTTGTGTGAATAATTTACTAATTGTCAAAAGTTTATAAACTAGGAATAATTAACTCAGTGCCTTTGCTAATATTAAATAAAATAGCATAACCTTTGCTGCAGTCAGTGGCTTTGTATTCTTATTTTTCATGTTTCTTTTCTTTACAAAAACATCCTAGAAGAAAGCACCGAAAGGACAAGGGACATTTGATGGGGAAGGTAAGCACTGGATTTTGTGGAGACTGGTTTTTATTATTTGAATGCATGTTCTGATAAAAACCCAAGCTTTCAAATGACCAAATAAATCTCAAGAGAAGCTGACTTCAAGAGAATAATATGTCAAAATACTGTAGATTTTTTTCAAAGAAAAGCATGTTAGTTCAAGATTTTTAGATTTCAGTTATCAGCTGGAAATACTTTTAATAATAATACAACTGCCATTAAATTCTGTTTGTAGAATTGCTTAAAGAATACAGAAAGGCAGGTAAACAATACCTTACACTGGAATATAAAAAAGAACTATTTATATGTATTTGTGTATATAGTTTAAGCTTCAGCTCTTATAAAAAACACTGTGGGATTTGCATAAAATAAAGCCAATTCCTGCAAGCTGATTTCAGTGGTCAGACCTCATACATAGACCTTTGACTTCATTGGGGTCTAGGTGAGTGTCAGGATTAACCTATGTGGATTCAGGTTGCAGAACTGGGGGGGGGGCAAGGTGCCATTCTCTGGATTTTAGGTGTAAACCACCAATGCTTATGAAAACTATCCCTGCAGTCTAACATAATCTTTTTTCTCATGTTGCCGTTCTGACCCATAAGCTTGTAGTCTCAATGTCATCTTTGTCTCCGCTCTTCCCTGTTCCTCTGACCCTGATTTTTGATGAACTGGCTGCATCCCCTCCTCTCTATTTTACAACGAACCGTTAGTCCTTACTCTTGTAATCTCTCCTGACTATGGTAATCGGCGCTGTCTCTGCTTGCCCATCTTTAATCTCTCCCCAAGTCCATTCAAAACCTGGTTGCTGTGAACATCTTCCTTTCCCACTGCTTTGTCTCCTCTTCTTTTCTTAACTTCTCAGGTCTCATGCATTGTTTAAGCAACTCTTTGCTTTTGAAGCAATCCACGAATATGCCCTGCCTTCATTTTCTAAGATACCTCCTTCCTCTCTCCTGATTCTATGTCCAAGGTTTTCTTCTGACTTCTCCCTTCATCTCTGTTGTTCACTCCTTACTCTTTGCTCCCTAGAATGGCATTCAGGGTTCAGTTATTATATGCCAACCTTCCATCCTCAAAGTTTATAAAAATCTCACATATTCTTTGGAGCATGCTGTCTGTAATGATCCTGGCCCACTCTGTTTTCTTAATGTAATTCTTTGGATTGTAAACTCTTTGGGCAAAGTCTTAGTTTTTTCTGGCAGAACTCCCCTGTTACACAGCACCATATGCAGTTATGCTATGTGTTTATGATTATATGATGTGTGTACACACCTTATAAACTCTAGCCCTTATGTACAACCCTTGAGCAAAGTGCTAACGGACACAGCAGCTAAAGCAAATCTGACCAGTTTGACGAAAGACTTTAGCAGACTCTTAAAGACTCACTGAGGAGCTCAATCTCTTTCACTTTCCTTCCTACAAATAGTAGGTTGTAAAAAAACACCTGCCCTTCTCCTATAAAAGTATTTGCCTTTCAAAGTATCATCAGCCTTTCTCCTATAAAACGTTTCTTCTCTTCGTGGCTTAGTTCCTGTATTTTGAGTTCCCTCTTTCCCCATGTGCTTGTGCTTAATATATATAAAAAGAGTGTGAGCACTAGAAGAAGCTGGTCTTCGTGTTTGTGCTCCTTCCCCATGTGGTTTTGTTGCATTAATACTGGTAGCGCTGAAGCACATAGAAGAGGAATCTGAGTGCACATGAAAGTGTGCAGGCCCTGCATTTAGCATGTCTCGGAAGACAGGCTCTCTCTTGGTCAGTCCTGATTTTAAAGTTCTGAAGTCAAAATTTGGGAAGGGGGAAAATAATCCCCAATGAAATATGAACAGTTTTTAAGGCTAATAGTGTAAAAATTGCCATTGGTAATAGGTTCTTAATACCTTTTACTATGTGCATGAGATAATCACACACCTGGATGATTGACCTTACTGTACTGATGTTTTTGTTTTTTTAATCTTTAGCTTGTTATGACACATTGCACAACAAATTAGGGGGAAATAAAGCTGTTTTCTGGCTTTCCCCAACAAAGGACACATCTGTTCTTTAATTCAGTCAGAAGGCTTTTTTTTTTTAATAGTGGTACAGTGATCCATTGTTACTGTGCCACTGTCCGTCTTTAATAAGACACTATCTTTGTCTTCATGCAGTTTGTGAGCAACATCTACAATTTGCTTTATTTCATTGTTTAAATGCTACTTATGCCATTTGTTTTCAAAAGTTATAACTTTCTGACAATTAATGGCACTTTCCTTTGCATTGTAGAAAATGCGGTATTGTATCAAAACTACAAAGAAAAGGCTCTGGACATAGATTCTGATGAAGATTCTGAGTCCAAAGAACAAAAATCAGAGGAAAGGATAGTTATTCAGTATACGCCTCTGAGATCAACATGGAGTCAGCTATCAGTGGTGAGTATTTAATGGTTATATAGCCAGTAAAAATATAGTATGCAAGAATATATATAAGCAAGGATTTTATCTGCCAGTGGCATTTTCTGCCTGAAGTTTGACTTCCAGCCCCTTCTCAAATGTAAAGTGATTGCAGACATTTTATTAATACTCGGAGTTGTAATTGCCCATGTGTTACAGATATGGGGCCAAATCCTAAAGTCCTAGCTCTGCTTTACTCAGCTCTTACCTGCACAAATCTCTTTACTCTTCAAGATGATTTAGTAAGGCCTATTGGAAATGTCTTTTTACTGAAAAAGACAAAAGCCAGTATCTGTGAAGTATTAAGATAAGTATCTATAGAACAAAAACATAAGGCAAAATTAAATAAAGTGGGTGACATGAGAAAGTAAGTGTGACCTGAGGATTTAGTAATTTCAGTCTCATTCTACTAGAAATGCTGGCCTACGCTTGTGGAAGAGAATCATTTGGTACAAATGGAAATGATTGCTCTGGATTAACAGGACATTTTTTGGTGTATATATTGTCAATCAAATTAAACAGAGGCAAGGTGGTGAGGTAATATCTTCTATTGGACCAGCTTCTGTTGGTGAAAGAGAAGAAGAGCTCAGTGTAGGCTTGAAAGCTTGGTTTTTGTTTTGTTTTTTTTCATCAACAGAAGTTGGCTGGAAAAAAGATATTACCTCACCTCTCTAATATTCTTGGACCAACATGACTACACCAACACTGCAATCAAAATAAAGGGTTTTTAAAAATGTATGTGTGTAAAACAAAGGATAGTGTATTGCAGTTCAGCTTTACGTTCTTACAAATGACTTGCAAACTTAAATAAATAATTTTAAAAAATGCAAACTAAAGGATGTGCTAAATGGCCACAATCCAGAAAATAATTGCACATTTGCCATCTTAAGGGCCTGATCTTGCAAACACTTCCTACAGGGCACAGTGATTACTGCTCAGGCCTTGTCTACACCAGGGTTTTAGCACTGGTGTAACCACATCATGGTAACCCCTTAGAAGAGAGAGAATTTTTACACTGCTGCAGTTTACCCTTGTTTGAAGGATCACATTCAAAATATCCAGACTTGCTGGATAAACTGGTTCTGATTCTACTAGGGTGGACATGGCCCTTTAGATTAAACTGAGTTCTATGTGTTTGCACTTGTATTCTTTGCATGCAAGGGCTATGGACAATCTTTAGATCAGGACCATAAACCGTGAGTGAACTTTTTTTTTTAACACAACCCTTGATTTTTAGAAGACCATGGAGGACTGGAGGTTTATTCCCCTTGACGCTCACTGTCACAGAAAGTGACTTTTGTGAGTGGAGAAGCTCATTTTAACCTGAGAGCTCTTGTGCTTTGCATGGACATATAGCTCCTGAATTTCAAATTTGAAAAGGCCATTGCCATGTGTTTAAAAGTTCATAAATGCACACAGTTCTAGATACAACTGGACAGTTAGGCATTCAACCAGATGTCCTCACATGCAAATACTTGCATATACAAATCTAGGTGCATACCATTGTGGTAACTGCACATGCAAATTGGGTGCTCAGATACGCATGCTTTTTGCATGTGACCCTAAGTTTCTCTGGTGACAGCAATAAAGCTCTTCAGTTCCCATGAGACTTTTCATAAGAATAGAGGTTTGCCTGGATGCCTTTAGTCAACAGTGCACTTCCCCCACACGTGCATCACACTTTACAACCCCCCTGCCTTCTCCAAAGGGGCTGCATTTCAGTGTGCTGTATGTAATGTGGTGACTTTTTGCTAAATATTATTTTTGTTGCTGCATTTCTTTGCTTTACATATATATTTGGTGCATTAAAAATAGTGACCAAAGAGTTCATGATTAATAGTGAAATATGAAAGGAACAAATGTAGATGGTAAACCTAGGAATTCTAACCACCAGCCACAGGGATAATTTCACATTTTCATGTTTTGTGAAATTGCCAGACTCGTCTCTCTAAGGCGTATAACAGTTTTGCACCTCTTATGCAGAGATTGTCTGCTATCTTTAGAAAAGTTTACTTTTTTTTTTTTTTTGTTTTAGCATATTGATGATTAATTCTCCTCGTTGATGATTTTTGGAGGCATGGAAGATGGAGAGCAAAAAATTATTATTTTCTGTTTGTATTATGATGATACTTAGGAGCTCTGGTTATGGACCAGGACTTCATTATGCTAGGTGTTGTATAAATACAGCACAAAAAGATGGTCTCTGCCCCCAAAGAGCATGCAATCTAAGTACATGTATAGGCATTTCTGAGTTTTCTACATGCTTTTGTAGTAGTCAGAAGGAGGAGTATTGAAGAGTTTCCTTTTTATGATCCTATCAAAAGGATGAGGTTGAGTTTGCAGTGCCAGAAACACATGCTGTGTCTGTCAAAGCTATGAGAGCATTCTAAATTCGCTTATACTGGTAAAAAAGGAAAGGCTTATGCTATTGGAGGAGGCTTCTGTTTGCTTTCTTGTAGGAATATGGTGAATTGGCTGCAGGAAAAACTCTTGACTTCATTATTCAACAAATTTCTTGGGCTATTGGTGGAGGTTTGTTACTTATGTAAAAGTGTTTTTTTGCCACTCTAAAGTGGTTTAGTTAACAGAAGTAATCCGTGTCATTTTCACTTTGTTTGGCAGGTGGTTTCTTTGACTCCCCTTCATTCCCCAGGAGTAACTCCAAAATGTATGGAGAGAAGGGACAGTTTCTCTGATCTTCCCCTCTCCACAGACACATGGTGGGTTTCTGGGCATAGCTAGAGGGTTACAGACAAGCAGGGTTGCATCAGTTTAACTACAGGTGTTATTTTAAAATCAGTTTAGTTAAACCAGTGCAGAAGGCCATGTGGCCACTCTTAAACTGATACAAACTTGGCTTTAAACAAATTTTAGCATATTTTAAGCATAGGTTTAAGTTAAACTGAAATAAGCCATTATAAATAAGTGTTTTGGCACTGATTTAAATAATTTTTAAACTGTTGTATGTTAAACCAGTGCAAATTCTGTGTGTAGATGAGGGATGGGTGTCCACCGCCCTTCTTATTGCAGTCTTTCTTTCAGTATGCACAGTAGTTCTTCCTCAGAAGTGACAGGAAACCAATTAAGATCCAGCTGTTTAAGTCATCACCACGATATTACTAGCAACCCCATAAAGGTATTAATATACGGGAACAACTGGCTCTGTGGATGAGGGGAAAGCAGTGGACGTGTTATTCCTTGACTTTAGCAAAGCTCTTGATATGGTCTCCCGCAGTATTCTTGCCAGCAAGTTAAAGAAGTATGGACTGGATGAATGGACTGTAAGGTGGATAGAAAGCTGGCTAGATCATAGGGCTCAACGGGTAGTGATCAATGGCTCCAAGTCTAGTTGTCAGCCAGTGTCAAGCAGAGTTCCCCAAGGGTCGGTCCTGAGGCCAGTTTTGTTCAATACCTTCATTAATGATGTGGAGGATGGTGTGGATTGCACTCTCAGCAAGTTTGCAGATGACGCTAAATTGGGAGAAGTCGTAGATACGCTGGAGGGTAGGGATAGGATACAGAGGGACCTAGACAAATTAGAGGATTGGGCCAAAAGAAATCTGATGAGGTTCAACAAGGACAAGTGCAGAGTCCTAAACCTAGGATGGAAGAATCCCATGCTCCGCTACAGACTAGGGACCGAGTGGGTAGGCAGCCGTTCTGCAGAAAAGGACCTAGGGGTTACAGTGGACAAGAAGCTGGATGTGTGTCAGTGCGCCCTTGTTGCCAAGAAGGCTAATGGCATTTTGGGCTGTCTAAGTAGAAGCATTGCCAGCAGATCGAGGGGATGTGATCGTTTTCCTCTATTCAGCATTGGTGAGGCCTCATCTGGAGTACTGTGTCCAGTTTTGGGCCCCACATTACAAGAAGGATGTGGAAAAATTGGAGAGAGTCCAGCAGAGGGCAACAAAAATGATTAGGGAACTGGAGCACATGATTTATGAGGAGAGGCTGAGGGAACTGGGATTATTTAATCTGCAGAAGAGAAGAATGAGGGGGGATTTGTTAGCTGCTTTCAGCTACCTGAAGGGTTCCAAAGAGGATGGATCTAGATGGTTCTCAGTGGTATCAGATGACAGAGCAAGGAGTAATGGTCTCAAGTTGCAGTGGGGGAGATTTAGGTTGGATATTAGGAAAAACTTTTTCACTAGAAGGATGGTGAAGCACTGGAATGGGTTACCTAGGGAGGTGGTGGAATCTCCTTTTTTAGAGATTTTAAAGGTCAGGCTTGACAAAGTCCTGGCTGGAATGATTTAATTGGGGATTGGTCCTGCTTTGACCTTCTGAGGTCCCTTCCAACCTTGATCTTCTATGATTCTGTGAACAAAGGAACAATAATGCTAAACTGGTACAATTTGGAAAATCCTGAGGTTATGTCTGGTGAGAATAAGAAAAAGTTAGAAGTTCCACAATTTTGTACCTAACTTAATCCTCTGAATGCTGCTTTTTATAGCTTTTGGATGATGCCTATGGAGTGGGAAAGTTTTGTTCATTGCATTCTTAAGCTATAACAGAACATCTTTTCTATATATGGAGTTAAAAAGGATTAGCTTGGATGTAAAATAGAGGTCACATGTTAACAGGTCAAGTTGTGTGCCTTGACAACTTGGACTGCTGGCTGTTCACACTGAAGCACTAGTTGTTAAGATTCAATAAAATCCTACTTAGGTTGTAAATTTTGTAAGAGCTGTCTTACTGATGTTGGCTCCTTTGCAGTTCCAGGTAGTATAATAGGAGAAGTTCTACCCTTACGTGCATTAGTTATAAGTTAAAGTCTTCATTCGTTTTGTACTATGGACAGCTATATAGATGCCTTTGTGATTATAAGAGCACCTTATTTAAGTACTTAGAAGTTCAACTGACTTATCACGCTGTTACGTTGCCAGTTAATGAAATCTGTCTTTCTGTATGGATCAATTTAAAATGCAGTCAATGCAATAAAAGTTTTGTTGGTATTTCAAGAAAACTCTAGCAACACA